CTCTCTCTCTCCCTTTCTCCTCTTTCGCTCTTTCTGTCAGCGTGATTAGTGTCCCATCACAAAGGGACCAGAGAGAAAGCAGGAGAAGCAGCAGTGAGGACAAAGTGCCCATTACCGCTCGGTAATCGAGTCCCGAGCACCGGTCTGAGCGACCAGGCCTCGACGTGCCTCTCCTGGCTGTTTGCTGAATTAGCCTGCTTCAGAAAGCAGCTCGATGATGCTGCCAATTGGAGCCCAATTCACCAACTCCACTGAATGAGCCGTAGTGTGTGCTATGGTTCCTCTCTCTCCCTCAGCTCTAGAGTTGGGCAATCTAATAAAACGCTTCATTCGCTCGAGTTGCACAGCCATAATCGGTCGTTTTTATGGTCGCGCAGGCCAATCAGCCATTCGGTGGATGAAAACCCTCACACAGCCCGAAGAATGCTGGTGCTGGGGCACTGTGTTTCTTTGCTGCGCAAGCGGGACGCACTAAACTTGAGTTTCGTTGAGGTTCCTTCTCTGGTAATGATTGTCAAATTAAACTGGCATCCTCGCTCGATCAAATGCGAATTACTCGCTCTGGCTTTGCAGCTTTGCAACATTCGCTCAGTTGCTTCTAGCTCAGTTGCGGGGATTTGCCGTGGAGGGACTGGATGGATCAACGCGTTCAGAGTTGAATGCCTCACCAGCAAATAAAATTGGCTGCTGCCTAAGTCGATGCACTTTTCATTCGATCAAATTAAAAGAGCCGCATCGAGGACTGTGTGTGTGGTGACCCCACAAGAATCGCTAACGATTGACAAAGGAAACTGTGTAAATGTACTACTACTACTACAAACGGAAAAATCTAAATTGTATTCTATGTAACAATTCAAAATGTCTTTGAGTATAAAATTATGATGATGAGGAAGCCATCTTGAGGAGCTTCTTAAACTCAATCATGCTCACTCTGTACTTGCCATGACCACCTCGCTTGCACTGGGGTCCATCCGGACAGAAGCCGGCCATGTAGTTCGGGCAGAGGATGCGGCGTTGATGCTTCAGCTTACACTCCGGACCACGGCTGCAAAAGCCACGATTGTACCAGGGACACTCCTTCACTTCGTTCTCCTTGTTGACATGCAAAAACAAGCATTCTTTGTTGCTGCAGGCATTGTTCCTAAAAGAAAATTCTGTGTTGGATGCTTTTTTGTTTTAAGATCGAAAAAGCATACCTTGAATTGAAATAACACGTAGGCATATTGATCAAGTCGTACTGATGACTGAAAGTACACTGATCAGATAGCTTACAGAGGCCTCGGAGCCAGTGTTTGCACACCGGAGCTTTGCCCTTGTAGCTCACGTGACGAAGTGGACAGAGATCGCCTAGTTTGCAGGTTCTTGACTGGAAAAATCGGCAAGTTCCTGAGGTTGTCTTGTTCATCTTTCGGAAAAACATTGGCTTGATTCCGATCTGATTTTCAATGTCTCTCTCCACATCAAATGGTTGTTTATCAATAGGAGCGATAACGACTTCCATGATAGTGTCTCTGATACGAATAGATTAGAAGATATCGGATAAAAGCGGATAACGGCGATTCATCAAGTCATCAACGAAGTCAAAAAAAATTCCAAACTAGGTGCTGCCACGCCGTAGCGAAATTGTGAGTTAAAAATTTTAGCAGCAAAAAGTTTTAGTTTAGTTTTAGTTAAAAGTTTAGTTTTGTTTGCAAACACAAGGGAGCAGTGCAATCGCCAAATCAACTTGAATTTTTAACTTCAAAAACATTTTGATTTGTTATAAAAATAAAACAGGAAGACAGGAAGCAAGATTAATCGAATTCGATCAACATTGCCAGCAAATAACAAAAAAGTATACGACTTTAGGAGATGATCTGTCATGTCCTAAAAATAGACGTCCACACGCCAGCAGTGTCAAGTTCCCTTATCAGCTAGGTCTGTCAGCTACCTTTGTTTTAGGGGGCTAATAATTGTAATCTTTATGAACCTACATGTGTCCAAAGAAGGTGAAGTCTCTCTTCACTGACCAAGACTCTCAATTGACTGCTCTTCATTTTCCTTCGGCAAGTGCTAAATAGGCAAATGAGTTGCGCAAAGCAAGACATTAAGACAGACAGAGATGATGACGAAAAGAGAGAGAGGGTCGTGAGGGCTCACTCCCACCCTTGCTGGGCCCTTTGGCCTTTGGTACGTGTGTTCCAGTGCATACCTCCCTGTTTCGTTGCTGTAGGGCGAAGTGCAGACGGACAGACAGTGGAAATGGGCAACGTGATCACCTCAGTGCCTATCACGTGTTATGGCCGTGGCAAATGGCTTTACGATGCTGCTCCTGAAGTCTGGTGATGGCTGCAGTCAACGATGTGCTGATTGGCCGCTTGTTAGCGGCTCCCTTTGCCTCCACTCTTCCTCTCTTCCTATCAGTGGCCGCTGCCGCAACTTGCAGCAACTCTTGCACGATCGATACACTTCGTGTCATGCACCACTGGACACTGCACAGCGTCGGCAGAGGTAGTGGCCACTGGCCAGTGGTCAGTGCAAATGATAGTCCGAGGTAGTGTGAAGCCGTCTCCGTTTGCATAAGCACTGTGCATTAACACCTCGTTCGGCAATTTGATTATCGCGGATATGCAGACCTGTAGACCGAGGCACTCTGTCCTCGCTCTTTCTCTCTCGGAGCTAATCGAGTGAGCTTCTTTCTCTCTTCGGTGATTGATCTCTTTTTGATTGCCTCAACAGGCGTCAGTTCTGGCCAGAGAATATCCTCATGGGTAGTCGCCTACTACTTTTTACTGTCAATTTGGTGTGGCATTCATTGTCTTGCAGAATGGGAAATGCTCTTGCTGTAGTGCCTCTTTCTTCTTTCTACAGATGTGGCAGAATGTTTTAAAAAGGTGTGAAAAATGGAGTGGTTTTTCACTAAGGTCTCGGAAAACTAAAGCCCTCTTCGGTGACGATGTCAGTTGGTGGCTCAGGTGGCGGTGACCAGTGGCAAGAGAAATTGAAACAGCAGCAGTCGCACCAGCAGCAGCGAGCACTTTGTTAGGCCAAATGTCAAATGGTAGACGAAAGTGATGCGACGCAAAGTGATGCTTACGCTTTCTCTCTCCCTCCCTCTAATGGCTGACCGCATGTTGTGTTGTGTTGTTTGAGGGGCCAAACTGTGCTCCATTAATTGGGAAGAAACAGCAGTAGTGCCCCTAATGTATTTGGAGCCTCTTGCCAATTTGAGAAGACTAATAAAAGTCTACGCGGCCAATGCTGTGCTGATTGCGGTGTTCATTGTGTGTTGACCACTCTTCGTGTCTTCCCTCCAATGGTAACACTTTTGGACATTAACGATGAGTAGCACTTGATGGATGATAGGCAACGATGCCACTGTGATAACGCGGCTGCCGACGATAAGACTATAGAATACAGCAGTAGTGAGCACAGAAACAGTCCCAATCAAATGAAGAAGAATATCGCTCACGCCGCACAGTGGCACACGCTGCAGTAGCTGCAGAAACAGCATTTAATGTTTATTTATGTGCACTAAAAGTGAAAGTGTTGATTAGTGGGAAGACAAATGCTCGCTCAGGTAGAGTGATCGAAGAGGGAGACAGCGAGATTAGAGCAGCCAAAAAACGGAAAAAGTCCACCATTGAGAAGTATGGAGGGAATTGACAAGAGAGAGAGAGAGAGAGAGAGAGAGATCCCTATGATCGTCTCTGTTGACCGATTGTCTCTTGTCGGTGGCAATCTCCCTCTCTCTCTCCTGAGTTGCGATAAGGTGCCACTGTTGTTGCTGGTGCTGTCGATGAACACTTCAAAGTTTCTTTCCCTTTTTCTAGCAAAGACAAACATTTTACAGCAGCCCTAGGGCGATACACTTGCGCCAATTGATAACTTGACAGTGTGCAGCTAATCGATGGCCGGTGACAGTAACATTCACAGGTGAGATGAATGTTTTTGCCTTCTTTATTAGCCACATCTCTCTTTCTTTTGACCAGCGACTTTGTGTCTTTTTGTGTTTGATAAGAGGAAGAGAATGAACTTTTTGTCTACCTTCTTCTTCCTACTTCGCACTGCGCTACTGCACAAGTGCCATGTCTAATGAGGATTGTGCCAAGTGTGCTCTTTCCAATCGATTCTCCGACTCAGTGGGCCCGAGAAGGCAAGGCCCTAGAGTACAATGCACTTGATTTAGGCATTGTTGTTGTTTGTGAGATTAGGTGCGACTTAGATGCGCTAACAAAGATGGCTGATGAAGAATTGACATATCTGGAGCAGAGTAGTGTGATGGCAAGGTGCCGCTTGGCACGGCCACTGAGCATCTAATTGCCCTGTCAGTCACCATTAGGGGCAATTAAACGGTCGATGCGATCGATGCATTGTCTGCACTGAGTGCCCACCATTAACGGGATAGCTAGGAGAAGGCATCTTTGCTTTGTTGTTCAGTATGGGGTCTGTTTATTAATAATAACAGTCACTTAATTTATATTTACAACAGCTCTGCTACAGTGTGCCCGTGTAGCAGTATGCACCGTTTCTATGTTACAGCAATTGTGGGCAATTGTTTAGCTATGATTACATCAACAGGAGAGGAATAAGTGAAAAAAATAAAAAAGTAAAAGAGAGCGGCACCTTCACAGAGAGAAGGAGAATGAAGTGTGTCAGTGGTCAAGGGGCGAACTGCAGCCTAGCAGATCGCTGAGCGCGTGAATGTAGCTCTGCGCCATTTGCAGTGTTTCAAACTTGGACAGTTTTCGGTCTTCACCGATTGAGGGGACCACCTTGCGCAGTCGATCAAAGGCACTGTTCAGACTGTGCATTCGTCGTCGTTCTCGGGCATTCGCAGCCACTCGCCGCTTTTTCATCACCGGTTGCGGAACGGGGAACTTTGGCGAGTGAGAGGACGACGACAAGGATGACGACTTCCGGCGACTTTTGGACTGCTCAAAATCATCCCGATCACCAAATTTTTTGTGAAAAGAAATTCTGGACGCATTAGAGGAATTCTCTGGAAAGGGACTCTCTAACTGGAACATCACTGGAGAGGTCGGTGTGTTTGGACAGCTATCGTCTTCCTTTTCCGAAGTGGAGGTGTAGTACTCGGAAGGGGTCGTGGCAGCAGTCTCAAATGCCGAATGGTTGTAATGGTGGTTCATCATCATGTAAGCAGAATCTGCACTCTGGTTCTCTGATTCTGTAATCAAATGATGGTGATGGTGGTTGTGGCGGTGGTGATTGGCAAAGTCGGCAATAGTGAGCATCGTTGGCGGTAGTGATGATGGTTCTGGTGACGCTAAGTTGAGGAAACAAACACTTCGCACTGACTGGCAGCTAGGTAGCAGTGTGAAGTGGACCTTAGAGAAGATGAGCCTTTTATTACCTTGCTGGTGATGGGCAGAGTCAGTGCTCGTAGCGGTGATCGTGCTGAGGGGTAGGTGCTCACTGCCTGCCAAAGCATGCCAATGCGACAGGTGAGGGCGTGACTGGCGGGAAGAGGCAAAAGAGAGAGAGAGAGAGAGAGAGAGAGAGAGAGACCTGCAGTGCACTCTGACTGTGAGCTGCGATCACTGCCCTTCTGGTCAATTCGGCGACGACTTGCAATTCTGACGGCTTGCACTTCGTAGCTTTGTTTTCCTCAGTGGCCGCCTTGCCGTCGAAATGTACACATTCAAACAACAACAGCAGCAATTGGCACCATCATTCGAACAGGCAACTGAATCAGGCTGCTCATTAGGAGCACAGACAGAGCACCAAAACACATCAGAAGCTAGCGCAACAGCAGAAAAACAGCAGCAGCAGTCCATTTGGCCAGTGAAATATAATAAGGCTAATAATCGTGCAGCTCAATTGGCAGCCATCTTGCCATTATCTCCGCCAGTAGCCATTATTGGATTAACGAGTTCTCACTCGCTCTGAGCTCATTACGGTACTGACATGTCTAGCAGTGCACCACACTTCCGAGGATGAATGCAGATGGATGCAGTCGTCGTTTTTAAAGTGAGCTCTACTAGTTGCAATAGCTGAGCACATCTTATAGACTGTGCCAGATTCAAAGTCGATTAAACCCTTTGTCATTGCAGACACTGGAGCTCAGTAGACACACAGTAGCAGTCGTCTTCCATCAATGTTTTTTTGCAGTCTGCTCAATTACCACCGACTTTTATTTGCGTCTTCTCCTACTGTTGATGTTGTTGTTGATGATGATGCACTGGCTGATCACTGATGGTGGTGGACTGCACTGGACTTGGCTGTCTAGACGAGACTAACCGACTGTGCTCGGCTGGCCATCATTATCGGCTAGCCACATGCCAACGATGTGTGCATTTGGTCGCGCCATTAGCGGCACACTTACGCAACGGAGAGGTGTGAAGTTTATTGTCTGCTACAATGTCTGTACTTTTGGCGAGACTCGGAACAGCAGAAGGAACTGTTACTGCTTTGCTTGTTCCTGATGTTATTGCTTCTGTTGCTGTTGTTGTTGTTTCAACTGGCATCTAGCCGCAAATTGACACAAAGTAAAAGTGATTC